ATATATTTATTTAACTATTATTAAGCAAGAAGGAAGAGAGCGGGATGAAACCGCTGCCCTTGAGGCATGTCAGCACCTGTGGTCACCTTCAGAGTGTGACTGGAGACAGTGCTCTGCTATAGACGTATGTGTCTCTTACTCCAAGATGAGGACCTGGCCAGAGTCTAGCAGGGCCAGCCCCCTGGAGAGCTGCAGCAGGGCTTGCATTTATACCAGGATTAACAGGAGAGGCCGCTGGGAGTCCAGCAGAGAGCAAGGTGCCCAGAGTGGGCTCGACAGCCAGGCCTCAGACTTTGGGTGAGCCACATGTCCTCTCTGGGTGCTTGTCCTCAGGAACTGGGGATGGAGAGGATACGCACCACACAGGTGCCTTTAGGGTTACGTGAGTTAGGTCACGTCAAGCTGGACACCAAGTAGACAGCATCACCTATAATGGTGATGCGCCAGGTACAAGTTGTTCTCCTGTTACTTGTAAGTATAAATAACTGAGTTATGGGACCCCTCAGTCCTTCCCATGTGCACATGGGGCGCTGTATCCAAACCCAGCAGTTCTACTTGTAAGAATTTTTTCTATGGAGATAATCAAAGAGATATGACAAAATGTGTGCACATGGGTATTGAGACTGGCAGAAAAATGGAAACCATTCACTAATGAAAGTCTTAAAATAGGGGTCTGGTTAAATATTATGTCTAGACTGTGAGTAATAAAAATGTGATAGATGACCATTTACAGTCTTGGAAAAATGTGCTATGTAAAAATAGGTGGTCATAACAGCATGTAAAATATCCAGGTGTGTGTGTGTATGTATGTATATGTAGAGAGAGAAAGAATAAATATAACAAAAGTCTGGAAAATATACACTAAAATGCCATTAGTGGTTATCACTAGGAGACGGGGTTAAGGTGTTTTTTTCTCTTATCACTGTTTTCTAATCATGTATGTATCATGAACATATCATGTAGAAAAGTCTTATTTGGTGCGACACATTAGAAATTATACTGGAGATAAAGTTAAACATATTGGGACTTTGGCCCTTGGATGTTTTTTTGCCTCTAAAATTTGCCTTCTGATTTTAGTCTGTGACCTCATACATGCCATCATGATTACGATCTCTTAGTCATTCACTTGGGCAATGTGTTATTAGCTCATTGTGAAAGGACCAGGGGTTCTGAGTGATTCCTTTCTAAGAAATTATAGTTGTCCCGCCATATCCGTGGGCCAGGTATGGATCAAAAATATTCGGCGAAAAAAAAAGGATAGTTGAGTCTATACTGAACATGTATAGACTTTTTTTTTCCTTGTCATTATTCCCTTAATACAGTATGACAATTATTTACATAGTATTTACACTGATAAGTAGAGGTGATTTAAAGTATACAGGTGGCTTCGTATAGGTTAGATGAAGTGCTGCACCATTTTACGTGAGAGACTAGAGCATGGATTTTGGTATCTGGGGTGGGGTCCTGGCACCAGTCCCCCGTGGATGCCAAGGGATGGTTGTGCTAGAAAAGCCAAGAGAAAGACAGCAGCAAGCCCATCCCTTGCTTCGGCCGGGTCTGAGAGGAGGCTGGAAGAGCTGCACTGAGCTCGCCTGGCTGCAGTGTAAGCCTGTTTCAGGAAGCAGATGGTTAATGTGCTCGGAAGGTGCCTGAGCTTGACTTCAGGAACTGGGTGGTGGCAGTGACTGGGAGTGCCGCTGCTTTGAGACTGGAGGCTGATTGGCCAGGCCTGCGGCCAGCCCTTCCCTGCCCATTCAAGAAGCAGCTCTGGGCTGTCCTGGTGGCTGGACAGCCCCTCAGGTATCCCTGGGCCCTCCCAGTCATACCCCCCAGGAAAACTTGGCTCCGAGTTAGTTACAGCTTTCCTTTGAAGGACAGAAAGGAGCAGACCTTTCGTGTTGTGCCGTAAGGGAACAAGATGGTCCTGAAAACCGAAGAGGAAGATGGTGAGTCACAGCCCCAGTCCAGGACTGAGGCGGCCTGTGTCGAATGGAGTGGAGTTTAGGTATCTCTTTTGATCAATATGTGAAATTCTGTGAGGACAGTTTTACTGAGGGGAGGGCGGAGAGAGTTAAGGACCAACCTAGACTGTAGTTTTTATCTTACTGTTTTCAGGAGAAAGGTTACATAGTACTGTAGTGGTAAGAAGCTGAGGCTCTCGCTGGAGTGTGTGTTTGTGTGTGTGTGTGTGTGTGTGTGTGTGTGTGTGTGTGTGTGTGAGAGAGAGAGAGAGAGAGAGAGAGAGAAAATAAGGTAAGTCATTGTGTTTTTAAACCGGAGGTCCCCCTTCCAATCTTGCTTTCGTTACAGTTCCGCCATGGGTGTTTCTTGGTGAATTATTGCTTCGTACGTGGTGATTGTGTCTGTACTTCCTGTATGTGAATAACAGTTGGTCAGAAGTTCTGGGAATATCCAGAATGAATCTGATACTAAAAAGTAAGAAGTTAGAGACCAGATTGAAAGCACCAGTGAGATTCGCAATAAATAATACTTTTCTTAAATAAAATGTAACCAAGGGAAAAGACATACTAAAGACATACTTGGTCTTCCTCTTTTGGTATTAGAGTGTTTAAAGCCTCACAGCTCTAGAACTTCCTTCATCTGCTCCACGCCCATATACTGTAAACAGTGGAGCTATGACTAATGGGATGACAAACTTGGTGGCTTCTAAATCCCAAAAGATTCTGCTGAAGAACTGTGTCTTCAAGCACCCTAAGTCAGCACAGGAGTTTGTGTGTGGATGTGTATTTAATTGTGGTGCCTACGTCAGATGGTAGTGTTTTAATGCCATACGACAAAATAGAAGAATGTGTGCTGATTTGTAGCTGGTAATGAATGATACCAGTAATTTCGAAATGAACATTAGACTACATTTCAACGTGAATCTTCTGAAAGTTATGATACATTTGGGCAATCCTTTTTATGCTTTTCCTATAAAACACATATTTTAAAGTCTCACATCTAAGTGCAGGTGATCGTGGACAGTGTCCGTGGGGGGATTTGGAAAGTTGTACCATGTGCGAAAGACTTTGGGAGAGAAGGACTTATGGGTGTTCGGGGTGACACGTTTGCATTTGAACCAGGGAGCAGCAGTGAGGGGCAGTTCCAGGCCAGGCTGACCTGCCCACGTGGGCGTTTTTGTGTCTGAAAGATGAGTCTACACTAGCCAAGGTCTTTATTTTCAAAGGGAACACTTGTGAGAGTGGCAGAGGATACTGTACTGATTGTGTTGGGCCAGTGGGTACGCCAGGCCTGGCCATGGTCCCTCGCGCTTGCTTGCTTCTGGTGGTTCTGGTGAGCCCAGCGTCAGACCCACTTGGGGTGCTGTTTGATAATCCCTGTGGAGTCTAATTCAGAGGGCTTGTATGTGCTTGGCCCTTGGCCATCCTAGAGGCTTTAAGATTCAACATAAACTACCCCGTATGTGCACATTTAATTCCACGGTGGGTGTAATGGGGGTGGGACACGATTTGGGGCAGGGACTTTAGAGATTGGATTGCCGAACAACTTTGCTTTGATTAAGTAACATGAAGGAGCCGGTGCCTCTCCATTTCCCTCACCCCGTCCTGGGGTGTTGTCTGTTTGAGGCAGGAGGGGACAACATTGCCCTTCTAACCACTGCTGAAATAGGTGCCCTCGGTATTCAGAGGAGAGAATGGCTTTTAGGCAGGTGTGAGAGTGAAGAGAACAAATGGAGTTTTCCCTGGCAGGTCCCCAAGATCCCAGGGGAAGACAGAAGTTAAGTGTCAGCATTTTGCTCCTCATAGAGGTGCTTTTACTAGATCTACTGCCCTGAAGAGCACACCCAATAAAGGGTAAGTGGGGCTCACGCCTGTAATCCTAGCTCTCTGGGAGGCCGAGGCGGGCGGATTATTTGAGCTCAGCAGTTAGACCAGCCTGAGCAAGAGCGAGACCCCGTCTCTACTAAAAATAGAAAGAAATTAATTGGGCAACTAAAAATATATAGAAAAAATTAGCCGGGCATGGTGGCGCATGCCTGTAGTCCCAGCTACTCGGGAGGCTGAGGCAGAAGGATCGCTCGAGCCCAGGAGTTTGAGGTTGCTGTGAGCTAGGCCAACGCCATGGCACTCACTCTAGCCCTGGCAAAAGAGTGAGACTCTGTCTCAAAAAAAAAAAGGGGGTAAGTGGGGGCTTTTGAAAATATTCTTTAAGGAGGCCAGACCTTTCCTGTTGCGCTGATCTCAAACCCACGATCCTTAAATCAAAAACGTTGCTTTCTGTTTCCACCCTTACCTGGTGCATACAGTCGTCCATTTTCATTCCAGTATTACGTGTGTATGTATAAGTGAGAATTAACCAGTGTAATTAACTGGGCACTGTTTTCTTAACTGCTATACATTGGGGTTTTTTGCTATTTAATCTTGTCTTTTTTAACAGTTAGTCCCCTTGATTTGCCTTTGAACCCTCTCTTTGGGATGAAATCCAGACTCCTTGATGTGGGCCCTGAGGCCCTTCACAGGCATACACTAAGCCCGCTTCCTGGCGCCAGCTGTGCCCTGGGCCTGACCTGTGATGTGGCTGTCGTCCCTGGCTCCCAGTCACTCCCCAGGCACCTCACCTTGCTTGGTGTGCACCATTTTCTCTGATTCTCCGTCTGGGGACTCTGTTGGTCCTTCAAGTCCTGGCGCAGAGGCTGGCCCCTCTTCGAAGCCTCTGGGCGTGCCTGAGCGTTCTCTGAGTGCTTGGTGGCCTAGTGTGTTGCTGTTATGGGCTTACACGCCTCTCCCCACTCGCCTTCATGTTCCACGCAAGGCAGGGACTGGATCTGTTTAAATCCCAGCTCCAAGCACAGGCTGCGCCGTGGCAGATGCTCAATAAATGCTGAGCTGAAGTGTATCGGTGTATCCCAGTAAGAGAAAAGAAAGCGCTGAGGACGCAGCCAGTGACTCCGAGTGTGAGTGGGCTCTGTCTATTGGCGGCTTACCTTAGGTAGATTAGTTATTACTTGCTGAGCCTTTTACCTCATCTGTAAACTGATGGGAACAGTGCATAGTTTATTGTCAGTAAATTTGCAGAGTTTATAGTTGAGCTATGCTGTAAAGTTAAGAAAAATGGAAATGAAAAAAACATTTTAAGCTGTAAGATACCGTATGAGTATAAAATAGTATTGTTTATAGGAAAATATGACAAATAGAATTAAGTGTAGTGCCTCTCTAATGGGACATCGGATTTTCAGGTTGCATCTAAAATGATATCCTTGATATTAACTTTCTACATTCTTTTACTGCATTCCTTGTGATTGTGCTAGCTTGGAGTTGGACAGTTGCTGAGGTTGAGGTATTAGCAGGAACACCCAAGGCACGGTAACTATAAATGAATATCCCCATAGATATTTCTCACTCCCTTCCTTATGGATCGGGTTTGTATTTTGCAGAATCAAAAATGGTTACATCTTTATTTTTAAGCAGGAGCATGTTTGGCATTGTATGAAGTACACATCATAGCAAGAAACCTGCATCACCATCTGCTGTGACAAGTTTTGAAGGGGACTTGCTCTGGTTTGAATTTTAAAGGCTTGCCTACTGAGTATACCAGAGATGAATTCTCGTGGTGTTGTGCAGAGAGTTAGAACTGTGCTTTCTTCTTAATGAAGGCAATGAATAGAAACAAGGGCTTGGATTTTGCCCCTCTGAAAAAAGTTGACTTTTCTCCATTGTCTGAGGCTTCCTGTAGTCTGCCAGGTTTTCTCTTAGTTATGGGATATATTAATACTAATAGAAGCATAGGAGTGGCTGTGGATGGTCATGACCCAAAGTCTAGCTGGACAGGAGGAATGTGGAAGGCAGCAGGTGGACTTTTCTAAGAAGCCAGTATCAGTGGAAAGAAAAGGCAGGTATTGTAGGTCTTGGTGGGCAAGGATCTGAGGTAGTAAGAGCCTTTCTGAGTCTGCAGAGGGGTCAGCTGAGGTGAGGACAAAGTCAGGTGCTGTAGGTCCAGGTAGGAGTCAGAGATGGGGCAGGAGTGGCTTGGGGAAACAGGAGACATTTCAGTTTTTGTTCAGCCCTGCCTGTGGTTCAGAAAGGTTTCCTGGAATATGTTTGTGGCTGGGGCCTGACAGAACCTACATACAGTTTACTGCTGGTTAAATCACAGATGGAGGGCTAGACCTTCTGGAATTTTTTTATAGTATCCATCTCTCATTTTCCTCTTGGATTTTGACAGCCCTCCAAAGGCAGCTTTACCAAATTTAAGTCATTCTTGTCTCTGTTCTTCTTTCTGTTTGTTTTCAGCTCAGCTGAGATTTCCTTTTTAGAAAAGGACTCTTATAACTACTGCCATCTTCTCCTGTTGACCTTCTGAAGAACTTTAACTTGTAGGGAGTTCAGATGGGTTTCATCCTGCAGATGGAGCCATGAAGTAATTAGCTGAGACAGAGTCACTAAAAGCAGTGTAATCGTGGACATTTAAAGCCATGAGGTGCCTTGGAAGTTAGTTATCTAGTCCAGCCCTGGTCAACTTTACAAATAAAAGCCATTGCTGTGGCCCCTGGCAGGGACTCTCTGAAAACGGAGCCAACATCAGCCAGGAATTTAAGCTAAACAGCCATTGTTGAGATAGGATGGTCTCTTGTCTTCATATGTTACTATTGATAGTTACTTTTTGTTTTTCTCCTGACTACGTGGTGTGTTTGATTCTCTAGACCTAGGTAAAACACTAGGGGAAAAAATGGTGACAGAAAAATCAAGTCCTGCTTCCCTACAGATCAGCTGGTGTGTGAGCAGTCATCCCAGCACATTCCTTCCTTCCTTAAGAAAATAACTTTTATTTTTTTTTGAGACAGTCTCGCTGTAGCCCTGGCTATAGTGCTGTGGCATCAGCCTAGCTCACAGCAACCTCTAACTCCTGGGCTCAAGTGATCCTTCTGCCTCAGCCTCCTGAGTAGCTGGGACTACAGGCATGCACCACCATGCCCGGCTAATTTTTT